CGTGTTTGCAAGTTCCTGTATGGATATATACACATGTACATATGTGTAGGGAAATGAATGCTTATTCACACATACGAATGCATTAATTTTGACTTGCATATCTGTTCAGATATACATAGCAGTGCACATGATCGAGACTACTGATCCCAGGCCAACAGACACACATACGATGAATACAATCAAGCACAAACTTACGATTTTCTCTTTCAGCAATACTCCTACAGACAGATAACTTACACTGGTCCCTTTTTGGCGCGTGCATTGGTATCTGGGGCCTGTATGCGCTCAAAGGTCCGAAATTCTTCGCTAACTTCTGTGCTGTCATTCTCAGTCAAATCCGCAGTTGGCTGGAAGATGGGCAGCATCACACGTGTACCATCTCCCGTGACAGGATTAGTCAACCGCGTCGCTTGGTGTGCCTTGTCAACGGGAGTAGGCTCTATTTTTGGCATACCAGCACCTGTGGCATTCGGTGTGGACGTGCTGCGAGGCTCTCTTGGCCTCGTACCTGCAGTACGCTGCATCTCTTCGTTCTCTCTATTCGCTTCCCACTTGTTGGTGTCTTTCTTGTCATCTAGCGTGTTATAATAACTACTCGACTGTACTGTAGAACCAAGACCACCGTGCATATCAGTATATCTGTTCTGAAATGGGTTGCTTTTAATAACATTGCGCGCCCGTTGCTGTGGAGACATTGATCCGTCCAGATGCGCACCGCTGTGGCGATTCGGAAAGTCGTTTCCTCTAATGCCCGTAAAGCTGTCTTTGTCATTATAACTCACATTTGTATCTCGCCTGCCCTCGCCCATGCCGTCTCCATACGATACGGCATGCGAGCGTTGTGTCCCGAAAGGCCCCATGAACACAGATCTCTCATCCAAATCACGCACACACTCCATATTTTCATCCTCGCCATAAGGGTCGAAGTATGGATTCGTCCGCATATTCCTGTTCGCTCCGCCGCTGTTCGTGGGTTGCATGCTTGTGCCTGAGGAATGTTTGTATGCATGTGCACGTGTGCGTGGGCTCGTATTCATACGAAGGCCAACGCCTATACTTTGACCGCCAAATACATCGCTTACGGTGCTGCCTTGTGTGTTTCTTGGCACATTGCTATCTCTAGTATCTCCATTAAGACCGCTTATTCCGCCTGTATTATATAACGTATAGGTTTTGGATATGCCGACACTGGGCCTGACAAGTAAAGGCCCCTGATTTGACCCACTATTGACCCCCGGTACTTCCTCACATATATCCCCACACTCCCCATCATCGTCTACTTTCCCTGCTTTACCAGTTTCGTCTTTCAAGTCACTATTCATACCTTTAAAGCCACTATTATAACCATCCACACCCCAATTCTTCTCTATCTCCGAGATACTATTTTTAGCAGTCGTGCTGACACCTGCATTCGAGCCTGGGTTCCGCCACCTGCCTTTTCTTGTAACTGTACGCACCCCCTTATTCTCAGTACACTCGTCGCCAGGTGTGCTATTAACTAAGGTGTGTGCCGATTGATTAACAATATCAGGCGAGTTCTCATCGGACTCATCGGTATCTGTATGTGTCGATATCGAATCTCCATTGCCAGGGCGCGTATGATATGTTTGTGTACATAGAAGCACGGTGGGGCCGTCAACCTCGCAGAAGCTGCACAGCGCGAGTATGGCGTTCATATTTGCGGTACTAGAACCCTATTCCATACATGTATATATATAAAATGTACGTATATAAATCATATGTACACATGTGCATACTTGTGTGTATAGGTTTATCTCTTGTGGTGAGTTGTCACCCGAAAATTAGAGGTATCATAACTGTGGAAGCAGAACCTGCTAGCACACGCCACCGTAAGGGTTTCGCTCGCACAACATTCAAGTGCTCGGATTATGTTATAAACTCTTTACGCAACACGCATGCACACTCGAGTTGAATACTTATACTTATGTGCATCTATATAGCTATATACAAATAACACACCAAGTGACGCAAGACGCGATATACACATATATGCAACGGTACAAACACGGGAGGTTTAACCCAGCTTCTTTGTTCGAGCTATGCCCATTTCCCATTTCCCATTTCCCATTTCCCCCACAGTTTTTATATATATCTTTTTTATTTCGTCGAAGAAATTACGTGTGCGGTTTTGATTGGTTGTAGTTTTTGGATATAATCGCGCCAAAAATTGTTCTCGGGCGACATATCCAATCAAAACACTCTCAGTGTTTTGGAAAATAGACGAGTCGCTCTCACAGTCTCAACTCTCACTACACAGAGTATATGAATAAATATAAAAATTATAAATATATTATAGTCATCAATATCGAACTCGCTAAACGCAGTTGTGGGTGAGATCCACAATTGCACACCAAATACTGTGTCTGCATGCGATGGTTGTGTTAGGCGGATTGTATGTAGTGGCCTAGTTGACATGACCTCAACGTGCATAGCCACAAGTCACTGTAAGCGAACATTTAGGATATAGATATCAGTATATCAGTATACATGCGTATAACGAAACCTTACCTAGATTAATATAACTGCCACTCTGCCACCCGTCTGGTGGAGTCCCTATTGGCTGGTAGTAAGTGTTGTCGAACTATAAACCAGACGATTCCTTTTGCACACGCTACGAAATATATCACAAGCAAATAGTAAGCAGTGCTGTACTTCTACAGCTCTGCAACGACACGATTATGATTACTAGGTGCCTGGATAAGTGAACAAAGGAACAACAACGGCTATAAACCATGGAGAATCATGTAGTGTTCCTCATAGACACTGTTTTACCAGGTATGTTAACTGAACGTAATGTGCTCTATATCATGAATAAATCTCTTGATGAGCTCAGGACATGATAAATATATGACTCTGTATGAACTCGGTGAAACTCTAATTGTGATGGCAATATACATATATATTTAATATATTTGAATATATGTATATGTATATGTATATATATATATAGATATAGATATATATATATATATATATATATATATATATATATATATATAGTGTGTGTGTGTGTGTGTGTGTGT